GGATGTGGTTGCACCGTGAGATGCACATGCCTTCCTCTCCGCGGGCTGCAGTGTGTGGCACGGCCCTGGGTTTCTATTTGTCCCAGCTGCCACGGATTTCTGACTTTGGTGAAATACTGGGCCATTATATCGGTTACATTCTTTGCACAAGTCTTCAGTGGCTAATTTATTCATTCACGTAATTAGCACACGGGGGTGAGTCTCCTTCGTTATTTTCAAGTGGAGATGGATCAGATTAGCTTTATACACACACACACACACACGTATGTATTTTTTTTCTTTCTTGGGTCACACCCGGCAATACACAGGGGTTATTCCTGGCTCTGCAATCAGGAATTACTCCTGGCGGTGCTCGGTGGACCATATGGGATGCTGGAATGGAATTCGGGTCAGCCACGTGCAAGGCAAATGCCTACCTGCTATGCTATCACTCCATCCCCGATGTATATAATTTTTAATGAATCACCGAGAGATACAGTTACAGACTTTCGTGATTACCGAGCGAGTACCCATCCCTCCATCAGTGCCCATTCTCCACCACCAATGTTCTCAGTATCCCTCCTGCCACCCCCACCCCATCCTCCACCCCTGCCTCTGTGGCAGGCACATTTCCTTTTACTCTCTCTCTCTTTTTGGGTATTATGGTTTGCAGTAAGGTAGTAAGTGGCCACCAGGTTTGCTCTATATTCTACTTTCAAATTAGCTTTTATGAAGAGAGAGAGAGAGAGAGAGAGAGAGAGAGAGAGAGAGAGAGAGAAGAGATGGTGGAAGCATTTACAGAGGTTAAGGCATTTGCTTTGCATTCTGCTGACCCTGGTTCTAATACCTGGCACTACATATGGTTCCCTAGGTACCATCAAGGGTTACTGCTACGCACAGAGCCAGGAATAGCCCCTAAGCACTGCCAGATGTGGACATACGTTCCCCAAAGGATAAAACAGGTGTTTTTGCATGTTCAAGTTTCTGTTGTATGATATGTATGGTGCCAGCCTAGTTGTTTGATTGTTCAGTAACATGAGTTACCTTTTCGTCTTCATTTTTGGGTCAGACCTTGCCGTGCTAGACAGTTCCTCCTGACAGTGCTCAGGAGACCTCATGCAGTACTAGGGACTAACCCAGACTCGTGTCAATCATATGAGCCAACACTTTGAGCTATCCCCTCAGACATGGATTGCATTTTTAAAATTTACTTTTGTATGTTTGGGGCCACGCCTGGCAGTGCTCACAAATTACTCCTGGATGATGGGAGATGTGTGCTGAAAGTAGATAAGGAACCAAACGTGATGGCCTCTCAGTATCTGTATTGCAAACCATAAGGCCCAAAAGTAGAGGGTATGGGGGAAATTTTCTGCCATAGAGGCAGGGGGAGGGATGGGATGGAGAAGGGAATACTGGGGACACTGGTGGTGGAAAATGTGCATGTGGAGGGATGGGCGTCAGATCATTGTAGGACTGAAACTCAAACGTGAAAGCTTTGTAATTGTAGCTCATAGTGATTCAATAATAATAATAATAATCACTTAATCACACTTCACTTAACTTCCCGTTAGTTGTCGATTTGCTCGAGCGGGCGCCAGTAACGTCTCCATTTGTCCCTGTCGCGTGCTAGTGTAGCCCAATGGCATCTGTTCGCTCTGGGAACATGAAGAGCCTCAAACCGATCGTTCATGATCTTTATGTTTGTAGTTAGAGCACTACAAAAAAATTGAACATGGTTTTATAGACGAGAGGACACACATCCGGCAGTGCTCTGGTGCCACTCGTGACTCTGTGTTCAGGGGCCACTACAGGCAGTGGTCCAGGGGCCACCTGCAGTGGAGGGGACCCGACTGGCTGGGCCACATGCAGGGCAGGTGCCTTATCTGTAGTATCTATTCATAACCTGACTATTGGTTTCGCGAGGAAAAATTCAAACCGTGAGTGGTTTGGGCCAAATTCTCTGTAACAAAAAGAGTAGCTGACTTTTGTAAATTTCACTCTAACTTACAATTGTTATGGAACTGTGTTCAGACCAACACAGACATGTGACAGATGCAGTTTTGGGCGAGGCTTGCTGTACTTGCTAAGTTTAGACACAGTAGCACTGCTCCCCGACTCCTTCAGGAGATATTCTCATGCCTGATTTAAACCAGAAGTTTCATAACTCTCATCAACGGCCGTTCCCTCTCCCTGTAATAGTTCACATCCCGGTGTTTCTAGAATCAGAACTAATTCACATTGGTTACGGCGTCAGCATGCAATGATGATTTGCTCGTAATTGAAAAAGTGAGAAATGCTAAGAGTTCATTTGCAGCTATCCCGGGCGGCGTGTGAAACCCTTCAGATGCAGTCCTCCGTTCACTTGACCCAGCTCTGCCACACTCCTAAAGACACAATAGTCGCCGCAGCCTGGAGAAGTAAACTAAGCGGCCCAAGGTCAGATAGCATCTTAGCATAGAGGACATCTGTGCTCTGGGCTGCCTGCTCATCCGGCTTCTGGCCACTCGGGATCAATTCTGCCATTCAGCCAAGAGAGGTACACGAAGATGTTTCCGGGGCCTCTCATTATGGAACAGACCCACGTGCCTTGGGCCCTTGCATTATTCACATTTGTTCTCCAACTTTGAATCAGTAGCAGTTTCCAGCGTTGCTCTGAAAAGGGGGCTTTAGACGTCAGACTGCGTATTCTAACGCGATGACACTGATGGAGATGCCCAGCATCTCGGTAGAGACAGAAAGTGAATTGGGAGCGCCTCGGGCTGGGCCGATGGGAAGTCGTGAGTGAGTCGTTTCTCTTGGGGGCCTGGAGATGTCCCAGAGGTCGTTGTGCTAATGGCTGCGCCGCTCCGTGTTTGTGCTCAGAGCCGTTCAAGTGGCCGTTGGAGAGGCTGTGCTAGACGGCATGTGAGTCAGACTCCCAAGGTAGCGAAAATTGAGCAGAACGAGGACTTTCCTCTGCCACACTGAGTTAACTTTAAATTGAAAATTGTAAGTGAGGATTGAAGAAAACAGGAAGACTTATCTTTCTGTGATGGTTTGTAAACAGGAACAGGAAGGTGAAGAGTGAGTTACCCGCACAACCCAGCATTTTACATCTCTCTCACTGAGTGGATAATTCTCACTCCACATTTGTTTGAAAGCCTTGACTTGTATTATTAAACTTTTAAATGTGAAGACACCTGATTCAGAAAAAGTGGTTTTGTTTTTAGAGTCGTCGGTGGAGGCCCCCCTCCCCGCCATGTGTATAATCTTGTTTAGTCAATAGAAGTCGTTCCAGGGCTAAGTAGCATCTGACTTGCTCTATGAAATACATCTCATCTATTCTGCTGTTTCTGAGAATGATGGGTTTTTCGCTTGGGATTGAACTTAAGGTGAAGAGGTTTTTCGAGGCATACTATGCAATTTCCTCTGAATCAAATTCATTTTAAAGTTAGCTCTCCTTGATCTCTTCCTTCTTTGGGGGAATATTTTTGTTTCGGAGCCATACTCCGCTGTGCTCAGGGCTTACTCCCGGCTCCGTGCCCAACCTCAGGTCGGCTGATACTCAGGAGACAGGGCTGAGGTGGAACGAACCCAGGTGGGCCACATGCAAGGCCCAAACGCCAGTCCTGCTGTCTTGTCTCTTGGACCCAGTCTCTTTTTTCTGTACTTCTTTCTTTCCACAGTGCTGAAGTTTGAACCCAGGCCCTGAACGCTGGCAGGGCATGTGCTCTACCACTGAGCCACACCGCCAGTGATTTTGCCACTTAGGTTGTGTTGCCTCTTTGTACTTTCCTGGGGTGCGTTCATGCATTTAAGTGTGAGCTTCCTTTTCTGTGAAGGAGTATTTGCTGTTTAACCTCAGCACTGCTTCCGTAGGGAAGAACCAGAGTTCCGGGGTTCAGTGCCCCAGTGTCCAGGTTCGCCCCATCTTATTGTGTGATTGGCACTGTATCACTCTCACTAAAAAGTTCTTAGCGCCAACTTTGCGGCAGTTTCCAGCCACAACCCATAGGCAACCCCAGCCTTGCCAGGGGGCACTCAGGAGCTCATGCTGTGACATTGTTCTCACCTGCCCATGCCCAATCCGTGTCTCTCACCTTTCCTAGGCCTTTCTTAACATATTGACACCAACACCGCGATTTGTATTCACTAAGCCACGTTCAGGTGTGAGCCACTGGTGGTACGCATCCGCATCACCCTGTTGGTGACAGTGACCAGCACTGCACAGCTGTTGAGCCCTGGGCTCCGTGTTGGGCGTTTGGGCCCTGCTGGCCTCCGAAGCTCCAGAGCGGTCACTGTTCCAGCAGGCACTAAGTTTCTTTCAGACAGTGCATAGTCACCTTGTCGCAGGGAACGCACTCCCCCGCCCCCCCCGCCCCCCACCCCCCGGTGACTGACATCCTGTGGCTCCCTCTGTGTCACCAACTTTGATCCGTGTAACAACCAAAGTGGTGGTTTCCCGCTGCAGCTATGATCTGCACAAGTCGAAGCGAATCCGTAATTTCACTGCTGAGTCGGTGCGTGTTCTGAATCGGAGGTTTTCACTTAGGCCTGGACTCTGATGAATATGCATTATTTAAATGAAGTCTGTATGTTCCCTAGAAACTGCCGAGTCCTTCAACTCTTGCTCCTTTGCTCTCCCTCAACTCCCTGCCACTAGAGCTGCCTGACTCTGAAGAGGAGCACGCGCGTGCCATCGTGTCCCTTTTGGCCAGGAATTGTGGGAAGGTGAGGCCTGCTGTGCAGGGAGCACACAGCGAGGTTCCTCAGATGGCAGTTTGCCCAGAGACTTCAGACGCCAGGGCCGGGTGCAGTGTGTCCTCAATGCCCCAGGTGTGCGTTGCTATCCTATCTGATCTGTCTCATTCCCACCGGTGATGGGCATGAGTCTGTCTCCCTGTCTGCAGAAACGGTGTCTGCAAAGTAGCACCAGTCGTTCCATTGCATGGTTGAGCTCTCCGATGTCACGTGTCTGAGAGCTCACAGAACCCCACTGCTAATCCTGAATGTTGTTGTTGTTGTTGTTGTTTTCTCAGCAGCGTTTCCAGTATGGCTTCCGCACCAATGCCCAAGTATAACTCCCACTCCTTGGAGAATGAGTCGCAGAAGAGGGTAAGTGGAGTCTGCAGCCACCCAGCCTCTCCCCCTTCCTCCTCTCCCCATGCGAAGAGCAGATGGTCCCCTGGGGTCCAGCAGTTCCTGCGCCTCGTCCCTGCACCGTCCAGCTGCGATTGGCCGCCTCTCTTGCTTCTGCTGCTGTGTCCCAGAAAGACGGGGCCAGCTTGTCTGTGGGGAGTGACTCGGGCCTTGGCTTCCCGGCCCCTCGGTCCCAAGCCCTGGCCCTCTCACGGAGCTCGAGGAAAGAGAGAGGGAAGGACAAGGCTCAGGGCAGTCTGCCACCGCTCCGAACTCTTGGCCTGATTTTCTAGCTCTGATAATAAAATAATCACCTGACCTAAACAGATGCAGCTTGAATAGAAAAGGGCCGAACGTATCCAGGAGAAATTTGTGTAATTAGCGGCATGTTTTGGAGTATATGGAAACGAAGCATAGAATTGAAATCAGTTTAATTCAGGGCCTTTTAAGGCTGTTAAGCACCCCCCCTGAAGAAAGGAATTTACACCCCCCCTCCCCAGCAGTGGGCATGGACTGAGACACATCCCTGAGAGCCTATGAGCTTCATGGCATTTGCATATCCAGATAATCATCGGGGATGACTTTTAAAAAAAAAGACATATTTTGGTCCTTTTGTGTGTCTTTTTTGAAGTAGCTGTTGGTGATGCCCTTGTTGGTATTTGAGGAGTGAGGGGCGTGTCTTTTCTATTTGTAACTGATCTTTCTGTCCACCAATAATTTTGGTACGGCATACATTAAAAGTCTTTTTTTCCTACTTGTTCTTTGACCTTTTCATTCTGTTTTGCTTTTTGGTTTGTTTGTTTTTGGACCACGCCTGGCAGTGCTCGGAGCTTAGTTCTGACTCTGTCCTCAGGGATCACTCCTGGCAGTGCTCATGGGACTGGACGGGGTGCTGAGTCCTGGGGACTGAACCCAGGTCAGCCCCGTGGAAGGCAGGAGCTTCACCTGCTGTCCTGAGATGTGTTTTGAGTTTTTCAAAGAGAGAGGTTAAAAGTCCTCTTTGGAGGATTCCTCCCTTTTGGGGTTCAGTTGGTGCTGAGGACCAAGTAATGTGGGGCTTGCAAATCCCAAGATTGGACCCCAGGCCTTTGAGCCATCTTCCTGGCCACATTAAATATTTCTGTGTGCTCAGTCCATCGGCCTTTTTCCTTTATAACTAGTTTCTCCTTTGGGGGTCCTGTTTACAAGAACCTTCGACATTCCCCAAGATTATATAAGTTGGATTTTGTTTTGTGGTATGGGGTGGAGATCAAACCCGAGGGTCCCAACTATGAGGCGTGCTTTCTATCATAGACCCACCACCCCTATACGTTTGTCTTCTATTTTGTCTGGGGGGCACACCCAGGGTTCCTGGGAGAACTGGAGGGTGCCAGCAGTGTAGAGGAGACCATGCCGGTGGTGGGGATTGAACAGCATGCGCTCTAGCCCTTGGTCCACCTCCTCGGCCCCCTGTACGTATTTCCTCTCTTTGCGGTCTAAGAATCAGCCGTAAACAGGAGGAGCTTCCAGCAGGTAAATATTAACCATGCGTTATCATCAGTGTAACAGCCATCCCAGGCTAATCCCATAATAGCCCCTGATAGCCTGTGTTCATCAGACGCGGGCTTCTCTTGCTGCGTGTGCGTGGGTTTTTTTTGTTTTTGTTTTTTGTTTTTTTTTTTTTTTGCTTTTTGGGTCACACCTGCCGATGCACAGGGGTTTCTCCTGGCTCTGCACTCAGGAGTTACTCCTGGCAGTGCTCAAGGGACCATATGGGATGCTGGGAATCGAACCTGGGTTGGCCGCGTGCAAGGCAGACGCCCTACCCGCTGTGCTATCTCTCCAGCCCTTTGCTGTGTGTTTTGACTCTCCTTTTTTTCTCTCCTGACACGCAAGTGGGGAATTTAAAAAGTGTATTAAAAGTTAAATTCACTTCTGCTTGCTGGTTCTCGAGAGGCCGTGGCCAAAGGTGTGATTGTGTTTGTGCTCCTCACTGTTTAGAAAAAGTGTGTTTTTTTCCTTCGGGGAGGAAGGTGTTCCCAACTGGGGTCTGTCTGTCTTGCCTTCTGGGTTAGAATGCTCCGCTTACGAGCCATAACGAATAGAAAATTGATGAGGAATTTTCATTTTGAACCTGGCTGAAAAAGAGAAGGCCATTAGTAGTCTGGTGATAGTTTCTCTATGTTACTGTTGTGTGACAGTTTCTCTGGATGTGATTGCTGTAGAGGCTACTTCTGGCAGTGCTGAGGGGGGAGAGATCTGTGGTACCGGGGATTGACCCAGAACCTCACATGAGCCCCATCCTAGCCCCTGAAAATTCAGGTCTTACTTAAATCTTTCTGTATCACAGTAGTTTGCATCGACCAATCCTTGCTTACTCACCAAAGTGTGCTGGTGCATTTCTTGGTCTTAATACACACACACACACACACACACACACACACACACACACACACACACGGAGGAAGCATTCCTGACTTCACACATAAAATGATGCCTGTGATTTTGGAGAACGACCTGAAAGAGTGGAATGAATAGAGGCTGATGAAGCCCGAATAGGCGTCAGTGTTTCGCCTTGTCCTTGGCTTGACTCCCGCGAGCAGCTGCTTAGACCAAAGCCACCTTTCGCAGGCCTCGGGCCGCCTATGGAAACGCGCGCCTGCACCACCTGTGCTTGGGCTCTGTGCTTGCCTCCTGGCCGGCCTGGCGAAGCTGCAGTGCCAGAGACACGAGGTACGGGCTTGCCAACAGCGCTGGGCTCAGGGTTGCCCACAGACAGCAAAAGAAGGCCGGAGAAGGTATATCTGTGCCCCCCCTCCGAGGCCTTTGGGGGCTCAGAAATTCTCAGATCCCCCCTTATCTAGAGAGCCACCTGTGGGAGACTCCGGTAAAATCCAACTTGTGAGAAGCAGTCTCTGCAGGGAAGATTCTCACGAGTGACCGTACTGCTGTTCAGTGAAGACTCCCTTGAAAAGCTGGGCTCCATCCCACTTTTCTTTGGGTTTTGTGACCAATTGGCAGTGCTCAGCGCTTCCTCCTGGCTCTGGGTGCAGGGATCACTCCTGGTGCTGCTCAGCAGACCGTATGAGGTGCTGGGGATCAGAATCAGGTCAGCACGCGGAAGGCAAGTGCCCTAACCACTATACTATCTTTCTGGCCCGTAGCCCCACTTCCCACAGGATAATTGAATACTCCACAGGGGAAGGCCTGCTGCGCACTGCAACTGTTTCTCCGGAACACGCGTTCATGCTTCCCCGCTCCCCTTTCCCAAATGCCGTTGACTCGAGAGCACTTGGGAGGGCAGCGGGTGAGAGCTTTTATTCAGAGCCTCGGCATTAACACAGCGGATGGGTGCTGGTGCTCCCTTGGCTCCCTGGCTCTTGTCATTGCTCTTGTCATTGCTCCTCTGGGCCAGATTCTCCAGGACAATCCATAGTTCTTGTTTTTCTTTTTGCAAAGTGTGTTCCCACCTGGTTGTGCTCCATATCACTGCCCTCCCTGACCGCAGGGAATGCTACTCCATCTGATGCCACGGTTCTTTCTGCAGGCCTCGAGCGATGGACTCAATCAGGATGTGGGCGCGGCAGTTCCGCGACTTCCAGGAGAGACGCGCATTACGGGTAAGGAGCCCGGCCTGGTCTCTCCACAAAGGGGGCGGTTGGGACCGGCCTCCCTGCGAGGAGGGCAGCAAGGGCAGGTGCTTCCACCCCTCTAGGGAACAGAGGCTGGCCGTGTGCAGCGCAGTTGTAGCGGGACTCTGCATTCAGTTCTCCATCCAGGAGTTCTTTGAAGAGCTTCGTGCGCTCCAAAATAGTGACATACTTTTCTCTGTACAAAACTCACAGTCATTTGGGGGAGAGAAACGTGGCTTATCTCCACATTAAGTCTTCGACTCCAGTGAGAAGCTCTCATGGTTTGCAGTTATAAAACCGAAATCATATTGAGGTTTTGCAGCCCCGGCCATTTGCCTTGAAACGATCAACTTAAAGGCTTAAAGTCAAAGTATCCTCTTTTTAGAAATTGAGGAGAACAGATTGGTTTCAAATCTCTTTCATTTGCCAGATAACTGATCTTAATAATCCTGAAGGAGCACTTTGACGGTTGACTTGTTTTTTATGGTTCATTCATATTAAGAGGACGGGCCTTTGGAAAGTCCAGATTGTTCTGGCTTAAGAACCCAGAAGCACATGATGGATTTTAAGCCTAGTGCCGTGGTTGTGGCGCATTCAGATTTTATATTCAAGTTAGCACCCTCCGCTCAGATTCCCACTGCACTTGGTGATGTTCTTCCTCCCATTTCTTTTGGGAACATCTACATTTATTCACTAATATCGAGGTTGTGGCGCTTAATGCCTAAAACACGGTGCTCATTAGGCTAAGGTTACAGAAGCTTAGGTCACCAGGCATCATGGGAAATGAGCCTGTGTCCACTCGCCACCTGGGGTCCTAGTCTTAAAAAATGAGTGCAGGGAGCTAGAGTGATAGCACAGCGGTAGGGCATTTGCCTTGCACGCGGCCAACCCGGGTTCGATTCCCAGCATCCCATATGGTCCCCTGAGCACCGAATTACTCAGGAGTAATTCCTGAGTGCATGAGCCAGGAGTAACCCCTGTGCATGTTGGGTGTGACCCAAAAAGAAAAAAAATGAGTGCAGTAGGTATGTATTGCCCATATGTACGATGGCCAGCGTATGCGAGGGTTAGTTCTCTCTGTCACTGAGTACACCTTCACCTGGCTCACAACGCGAACTCCATCCCGTTGTTGTCGTTTCCCACCCTAAGAGAAAGAGACTGCAAAACACGTTCAGGGGTGGGGCTGGAGCCATAGTACAGCAGGGAGGACATTTGCCTTGCACGCGGCCGACCCAGGTTTGATTTCCAGCATCCCATATGGCCCCTCGAACATCACCAGGAGTAATTCCTGATTCCAGAGCCAGGAGTCACCCCTGTGCATCGCTGGGTGTGACTCAAAAAGCAAAAAGAACCCACAAAAAACACACTTAAGGGCAGCCTTGAACAACATATCTATCTTCCAGTGACGGAGCATCCCTGATTCAGCTGCTCCGCCCAAAGATAGACAATCCTTTCGGCCATCTGTTTTATATGAGGTGTTGCATTGAATGCAGCACTTTCTCTTGACTATTCAGAGAGAAAGATTCGACCATAGCAACACCTTCTCACCACTTTCACTTCGGGAGAACATGAGGTTCGCCTGCAGAGAGGCTGGCAGGCCTTAGACCCTCGCTGAGGGGAGTCAGTAAGACTGTCGTATGCAAGTTGCTGTCCTCTACTTGAAGTCCCCTCATAATTGTCTTATTCACTCCTGGGGAGGGGGCGGAGCTGCAGAACCCTTGGGAGCTTCTGCTTCTGCCTTGTTGGCACTTCCCCCCCCCCAGGTGATTGCGTTGAAGACAAGCTGAGAGAAGCAGCGGCTGGAGGCCCACTCCCCCTGCCCCCCAGCCCACAGCCTAGCCTGGGAGAGATCCCGGCCGATGCTGGCTTTGCGCCTCGTCACTGCTCTCAAAAATCTTTGCAAAATCATTTTTCTTACTTACAAAATATCAGGCATCGTGACTTCCAGTGCCATTCATGGTAAAGTTTCATGCATATAACGTTACAACACCACAGTGAATATTTTGGGAGGCGCACAGCGGTGCTCAGTGCTGACTCCTGGCTCTGTGCTCAGGAATCACACGTGCTGGCGCCTATAGGTGGTACTGGGGATTCAAACCAGGACGGCAGCATGCAAGACAAGTGCCTCACCTGCTGGATTCCGGCGCCAGCCCCCGTTTGGTTTCGCTGCAGTCCTTCTTAGCCAGTTAGCTTCGTTTGTTGTAGCGTCCTGGTAACCATTTCTATTCTTTTAGGATCTTTTTCTTTTATCTTAATAGACAAAGAAGTTATTTACATATGTCCTTTCAATGGCCCCATTAAGGGAAGAGTTTACATCACAAATTATCGTCTTTATTTAAGAAGTTTGGAAACGGTAAGTAGACTCTCAGATCCCAAGAGGAAGCTGACCCTAAAAGTTGCGCTTGGCATGACTGACTGTGGTTCCGATTGGCCTGGGCCGAGGGGGGGTGGGCGTGTGTCTGCACTCTTACTTTAGCCTCTCGAGAGCTTATTGAACATCCTTTCTCGCCAGCATTTCACATGCAGTGCAGGTTATTTATTACCTATCAGGAAGAATGTGGGCCTGATATATGAAAAGAATCCCCAGTAACCAGTGTGCTGCCTGGCAGAATCAAGGGTTGAGGTGAAGCATTTGGACTGGGACTAATAATCGGGAGTTTGGTATGGAAAACGTTTTCTAAGGGGAAACCACGAACCGCAAAGGATCAAGGATGTTGAGGCAGACAGGTGGGGAGCAGGGATTTTGATGGAGGATAGAGGGGGATCTGTGTGTTTGTGTGCATTGTTACCATACTGCTTCCTCGCCCAGGGACATTCATTTCAACTGGCCCGAGCTTATGTGATCTAGTGATTGAATATGATCGATTAGAAAGTTAACATACTTTATAGACTGAGCTCTCAAAAGTACTATATACTGACCAGAAAAGCCGAGACAGTAGTCTCATCAGAAAGGTCGTGTTCTGCCCCAGGTGCCACTTTTTTAGAGGAACAGTGAAAACCTAGCAGGACTTCGGACAAAGGGAACCAGACTCAGCAAGTGGCTGTGATCGGAGTAGCAATGAAAACCAGAGTTGATCTTTGGTGCGGAAGGAAGAAACGGGATGGGTGCCACCAGCCCACCTGGGAACGTTGCAAGTGTCTTCTGTGGAGCAGGCCCTCACCACCTCTGCACAGGTCCTACGGGCCAGATCAGGACAGATGAGATTTGACGGGGACATCAGGATCACAAAGAAGAGTCAAGGGGCCAGAGTGATAGTACAGTGGGTAGGGCGTTTGCCTTGCACTCGGCTGACCTGGGTTCGATCCCTGGCATCCAATATGGTCCCCCAAGCACCGCCAGGAGTAATTCCTGAGTGCTGAGCCAGAAATAACCCCTGAGCATCGCTGGGTGTGACCCAAAAAGCAAAACAAAAACAAAACAAAAAGAAAAGTCAAGTGTTGCAGTGCTTTCCCCCTTGGAGGTTGGCCTGCAGACCAGTGCTGCACACCTAGTTCCATTCGTGCTGTCGCTGCACATCTGATGATGGGAAAACTGATGGCCTGTGTCAGGTGACCTCAGCTCCCTCGAACAAACGGAAGCTCACTGCAGGAAAGCATCCAAAAGGAAATGCATCGGAAGTTTGAGGCACTTGGGCCTGGTCCGTGCTGTTTTTTTCCTTCCGAACCGGAGAGCACCGCGCAAGCTCTACTCAGCCCGGCTTCTTTGGGAACTCTGCAGGGTGGAAGTCAGGAGCAAACAGGGGCCTGGAAATGCCTGGTGCACACTGGCTGGCTTTCCTTCCTCGGCCCAGTTTCTCTTAAACGCTCTGATCGATTGGCCACAAGGGTTCGTGTCAGTGTGAAAGCCAGGCACAGGAGGCATCACAGGCAGGAAGGCCCAGAGCAGGCAGCCCTGGCCGCAGCAGAGATGGGGATGCTATGGGGTATGGGGCAGCGAGTTGTTTCCTCGCTGCTGACTGGAAGTGAGCATTTATTCAGCTCGGGTCTGTGGGCAGGGCAGGGAGTGCCAGTGGCCTGTCTGGATGCCAGCTGCCTTGGCGTCTTGGACTGGCCGCCTGGCCTCTCCCGGGCTCCCCGCTGCCCTCAGGATGGAACCCACTCTCCCCTCTCCGGTTACCCCTCCTGGTTACCACACTTGACCCTCTCTGCCCTGTGCTAGTAACAAGCTCGCAGGGAAACCAGGGGCACTGTGCGCACTTGGACTGGCGCAACTGCCTGGCACAAGGCCTCGGGAGCTGCTAGAGGCGTCCCTGAGGTGGGAAGGGTCGCGTATCAGTCTTGGAGCCTGGGTGGAAGGTCCCAGGGAGGAGGGGATGCCGAGGGAGAGCTCTGCGGGCCATGGGGAGTCTCCCTTGATGGAGGGAGAGACCAGAGGCAGCCAAAAAGCTCCCGAGAAAGATCTGGAGAAGGGGTGTGGAGCATTAGAGCTGTCTCGTGAACTGGAGTCACCTCGAAGCCATACAAGGGAAGCCTCTCTGGAGTCTCAGTGAGAAATTTGTGGAAACTGAGTCTTGGTGGCCTCTCTCTCTCCCCCCCTCTCTCTCCCTGTCCCTCCCCTTCCCCCAGCCCTCCCCCTTTCTCCCTGTCTCTCCCTCTCCTCCCTCTTTCCCCTCCCCTTCCCCTTTCCCTCCCTCTCCCTGTCTCTCCTTCTCTCTCCCCCTCCCTCCTCCTCTTCCTTCTCTATCTCCCTCTCCCTCTCTCCCTCCCCTTCCCTCCCCCCTCCCCTCCCTTTCCTCTCTCCCTCTGCCTCTCTCCTACTCTCTCCCCTCCCCCTCCCTCTCCATATCCCTCCCCCTGCCACTCTCTTTCCCTCTCTCTTCCTCCCTCTCTCTCTCTCTCTCTCTCTCTCTCGTCCTCCCTCCCTCTCTCTTTCCCTCCCTGCTTTTCTCTCTCTCTCCCCCCACCCCATCCTTCCATCTCCTGCTAGAAGCTTTTCCAGTTTCCAGCCCTCACCCCCACTGTCTCTCCATTCTGCTCCCCTTGATGCCAGCCACTTTTTCTCCGGGGCCCGCTGTCTGTCACCCAAGCCCTTTTCAGACACCTACCGAAGTACGTGACAGGAAGACCAGCTGTCCCCAGCCTCTCCCCTCCCCTGGCCTGTGCCTCCTTCCCGCAACCTAGAGCGCCTCTGCTCTCCCCAGTGCCTCCCTTGAGGGCCTTCATTGTTTCTGGCCGCCCTGGGGTCTGTGATCTCCCCCTGCCCTGCTCTGTTCCCTCTGGTCACCCTGGTGCAAGTCCCTGTCACTGGCCCTGGGAGGCCTCCCCGCTTCCTCACACTGACTGTCCCTCAGCCCCCAGGGTCTTCTCCTTCCATCACATCAGCTTCCTCTGCACTGCCTCTCTCTCTCTCTCTGGGACCCCCATAGTCCAGCTCTGCTCACAATAGAGGTCCCAAACAAGCCCGAAGTCTGCGTCTCCACCCAGCACGTACTCATCCCCACCTCAGTCCCTCCCTCACTTTTCACATCATTTGAGGGTAGATAGTTGGTCAGGAATCACAGCCATCCGTACAGTCACCTGCCCGCTGAAGAAAACCTGTCCCTGCCTGTCCCCCGTCACCCCATCCATAGCTTCTCACCACCCCGAGATTGGTATCTCTCTCCGGGTCAATCCACAGGCCCCATTGTTAGGTCGAGTGGAAAGCAGGAAGTGGCGGCCTATGGTAGGCTTGCTCGGGTGCCGAGCGCAGCTCAGGACCCAAGACGTTTGTTTTTTGTTTTCGTTTTTGTTTTTTGTTTTGTTTTGTTTTTGCCTTTTGGGTCATACCCAGCAATGCACAGGGGTTCCTCCTAGCTCTGCACTCAGGAATTACTACTCCTGGTGGTGCTCAGGAGACCATATGGGATGCTGGGAATCGAACACGGGTTCGGCCGCATGCAAGGCAAACGCCCTACCCCCTGTGCTATCACTCCAGCCCCCTCTACCCCGAGACATTTGTTGGGGAGCATTCCCATTCTTTGGCGCTGAGTCACAGATTCATCACATTGGCTCTTCCAGAGAGGAGATTTGGGACATGCATTGCTCAGGTTTTGCCTGAAAGAACAAATGCTTTAGCCCTTCTTGTAGGAGTCTGCTCTGCCGTTCAGGGCCTCTCAGAGGCACACACGCAGCAGCGAAGGTGTTGCTGTGAGGCAGGGATAACTTGGCTTCCTGTGTGCTTGTGTTGGCCCACTCCTGGCTGTGTTCAGGGCTTCCCCCGGGCGCGTGCCAGGAATTACTCCCGGCTGTGCACGTCCAGTGTCCTGCCCCCGTGAACCCAGAGACATAGTCCAGCCGGCCGCCAGCCTCCGGCCCACTCTCCGGTACCTGTGCCCACACCTGTGCCGTTCTTGGAAGAAAGTTGACTCGGGCGGGGGGGTGGTGTCAGGAGATAGCTCTGAGGTCGCCACACACACACACGCGCAAGTGCGAGACCCTTTGTTTAAGGCTCGATCTTGCACGCCTCCCCCTGCACTAGCAGCTGCTCTGACCTCGCTCTCCTGCCCAATTCCCAGCTCTTCTCATCTGACACGCCGGGTCATCATATCTGGGTCCCATCCTTGGAGACAACATGTCAGTGGCCCATGGCCCCTTTTTAGCGCCTGTTGTCAGCTTGGAGTCGGGCCAGGGTGTGGGTGCCGTGGAACCCCCTGCAGCAGCCCCGGCTGATGTCCTTCTTCTCTCAGGGACCCCTTCTCGCTGCGGGCGTTCTTCCTTCCATGGTGCCATTGGAGCATCTAGTCTGTGCTTCTTACATCCGGGTACGTTTGGCATTTAGGAATGCAATTGTCCAGACACATGGGAAGCGTCACAGACTGTGCGACTCGGTGGTGTTTTCTTAAGAACCGGTCTTGCCTGGGAGCCAGCATGTTAGAAAGCATCACTGGCTCTCCACACACAGCTTCCGAGCAGTGTTTTCTCCTGCACGCCTTTTGGCACCACATCGTGACATGTCTCATCCACGGCAATAGCTAGACGCCTTCTTGCAGAAACACGCGGACCCTCAGAAGCGTGGTAGCAGGTGCCCGTGTGAGCTTTGCTGTACCAACAGCACCAGCATGTGTTGGTGTCTCGCTGCCCTGTGGAAGGCACCATGCCAGGTCACGGGACCTGCAGCCAGTGACCCCCTCAAGGTAAAGGCGCCTGAGCAACAGTCACGAGCCAGCTAGTAAATGCCTCAAAAGTCAGATTTCACGCCGCTCTAACGGAGGTGCTGCTGTTTGTTCTCTTCTCCCCATCCCACTCTTTCCCTTTGGATTTGGAAATCATTCCAGACTCTCCAGACCTTAAACAAAAGGGGGAGGGGAGTCAAAGTTACCCAGGGTTTCGCCTTGGACAAGCTGAGCCCGAATGTCCCCAGCATGGCATAGGGGCTCCCAAGCCAAGAAAAAGGCCGTTGGAAACCAGTCCAGGGAGGCCCCGTGCCCAGGATTCAGCTTCTCCATTAATCAGGACCTTCGCCGGCAAGATCCCAGCAAGGGCGGCTCGGGCCTACTCCAACGGGACGTGCGCCTTTGACCATTCACGCTGCAGGCCGGAGACTTCCCACCCCACGGGAGTTCACGTACCCGCTACCAATGAAGACGTGCCGCTGTTTGCCAGAGAAGCCCATGGCCCTGTCCTCCTGCCCCGTGGCCCTTTGCCATGTCTCTGTTCCCCTTCGCTGCTTGTTATCCTTCAGACGTCATCTGTGGGGTCTTGCGCCCTTTGATCTGTTGACCCGGACTTGCTCCACTCAGCGCTTGGCCTTAGTATCCTTGGGTTGTGCGTCCATTTGTGTAGCGGCGCAGTGGGTGGGCCTCACGCTTGGAGTCTTTGTGTCTCTAGAGAACTCCGAAGCTCTCTTCACATTTTATGAAGACGTGCTCAGTTTTGGGGTTGGATCTTCAGGAGAAGGATGTCAAGAAACCCTGAAGAGCTTTCATTCGCACTCCCTCCCAGAAAGAACATCTTAAAACAAATTCAACACACACCTGTTTGGTTTTTTTGTTTCTTTAATTCTGCCCCCATACTCAGCAGTGCTGCTTCTGTGCTCACGGATCACTCCTGACGGGACTTAGGCGACCATGTGTCAGGGATAAAACTTTGGTCGGCTGCATGCAGGGAAAAACCCCTACTCGCTGTATTATCTCTCCATTATCTCAGCACACACCGTCACAGTGATTTCTATATTATCATCTAGCACAGTAGCCAAGAAAATTCTGGATTAAACAAATAAGCGTGTCAGCCCATTGTCCATCTGGGTATGTATTTTGTGTTATGGTAGTTGTGTTTTCATGCTGCTTTCCCCTCTAGAGTTACCGCTCACATCCCATAATTATTGTAATAGCCGCATGCGTAAGTATTGCTGTAAGTTGACGGATTTTCTCCACCCTCACCCTGCTGTCCAACTCTGGCTCCGTTAGTGTCTTGTTGTGTCTAACCTTTCTCCCGTTAAATGAGCTGAGCACTGTGAAATACGTTTTTAGGAGTGAAACGATGCACTGAACTCTTAGGGCCGTTCATATGGCCCCTTGGATGTGTGTCCCAGCCCTGGTTTCACCGCTCCACACCTCCCCATATCCACCAGGTCCGTCACTGGAGCTTTTGGTAACCTTTGTCACTGTGTCTAACAGTGGCGCTGCTATGCTTCTGTCCCAAATGGCCGGGGAAGGCAGTGATGGTTCACGGTTCTCCTGGCACAAGCCTCGCCCTGATGACTTCCACATACTGGCCCCCGGCATGGACTGAGGTTCCGTGGACAAGCATTGCTGTGTGTGCCAGCCCTACGTCGGCCGGAAATGCAGCGTGCAATGCTGCAGAGGGGTGATGCTTGCTCCTGGGTGGGAGTATAGACGTGTTCACTCATGGTCACAGTGCCGGGAAGCCCACAATGGGGCAGTTCTCTGACCTGCAGGGCCCTCGTAGCCCTTCAGAGGAGGGAGTTGCTGCATGATCCAGTGAGGAAACTAATCCTTGGTCCTAGTGCCGCCTGCTGAGCTGCGGCCTAAGTAGAGGGGAGAATTTTTGCGTTTGGGAGTGAGAGATACTCGAGGCCACGGGCACACCAGGTGCAAAGCAGGCAGACCTGAGGTGGACCCAGTGTTTGAAGAGCGAAGAAAGCATTTGCTTGTTGGAGCACAGTGTTGTGGGAAAGAAGCCTGCAGGGCCCCCTGGCTTGTGGGCTCAGGGGTTTGGTTTCCATCCTGCACTCTCTGCAGAATGCAGATGTTGGGGGCAAGCACTGGGGCTCCACCATCCAATGACTGCTCAGTGATGGCTTTTTCCTGGGTTGCATAGATCATATTTTTGTTCATGAAATGTTACAAGGGCCCAGGTGAAATTAGTCTGAAGGCATCTGGGATGCTGATGTTTGAGTCCAACTCACAGAAATCCTGACTTTCGGATTTTTTTTTCTCCACTCCAGGATTCCTCTCTAATCCTTGATGTTCCTCTGGGCGTGATCTCAAGAATTGAAAAAATGGGAGGTGCCACAAGTCGAGGAGAAAACTCCTATGGTCTCGACATTACTTGTAAAGTAAGAGATTCCGTGCCTTCTCTTTCTCTCCCTCTCTCTCTCTCTCTCTCTCTCTCTCTCACACACACACACACACACACACGCACACACACAGGCACCTTAGTGTTGCGTGATAGGTGAACGGTGAATGTAGGGTCGCAAGGAAAGCCCCAAACTGCAGCCTGCTGAACCAGACCATGTCTGTTCCAGTGGCTCCCGCATCCAGGGGCCACTGGGGGGAACCTGGGCACATTTCTTTTTAATGTCCCTCTTAGGGTTCAGTCCCAAATTTGACCAAGAGACCCTCTCCCCAGGCCGGGCCCGGATGGTTCCCAGTGGCACATTCGACTTTGTTTCCTCTTTTCTCATCCCTTTAAAAGTGTACAGCACATTCTTTGCCTGTATCCTACGTACAGACTCACCTGGGTAGGACCCCGCTGCCCCTGCCCGGCCTGACTCCTTCCCTCTGCAGAGAGGGATGGAGGCCTGTGCTCAGTGGGATGACTTGTGGCATTTGTCCTAATGGCCATGGAAGAGGGAGAAGGCGAACCCGAATCTTCTTTTGCCATCCTCACGCACTCTGAGTTCTTAGAACCATCTTTCTCCCTCGTTAATGCTGTGTTTTCCCCTTCAGTGTCCAAAAGATGAATGTCTTGCGAAGCCTCCAGACACCCAAGGACCGTTAGTATTAAACACAAAAGGATAGTGGGCATCACTTCCCCACTTAGCAGCTTTGGTGTGGTGTGTGTGTGTGTGTGTGTGTGTGTGTGTGTTTTCCCCGAGCTACCTCTGTGTTTCATCTCTGATTCCAGCTGCTATCTACCTTTGGGGGGCCCAGAGAAGCGGGGGGGGTTACCTTTAAGGAACATTTTTGCATTTTACACAAAAGCATCCGTGGGAGCAGAGTGCTGTATTATAGTAGTCAAGAGAAAATGGGCTTGCTTTTTTGATATCCTGAAATAATTTTTATTCAAAGCGAAAAATTCTATTTGTTGCCTTATCAATAGGAAGAATTTGTATTTTGTTATTACACACCCCGCGCCCAAATTAATAAGATAAACCGCATTCTTTTCCTTTCAGCATTTATTATGAGAACAAAGGGCCCTGGAACAGCGCAGCAGGCATAAATCTCAAACACTACATGCTTATTCCTTAGAATTAGTATAGAGCACAAAGATGAGGGGCTGGAACAATGTTTAGCGCAGCCTTTTAACTCAGTTATCTCCCTGGAAACATCGGCACTCCATCTGCAGTCAATCACCGTAATCTGACCACACGCGCTTCCCAAATAGTCCTAACCCCTCCGAGGGGTTGTACCAGCTCAGCGCACCCACATCTCCGCCCCTGCAGGGCAGGGTCTCAGGGGAAGTTGAGGAGGGGAGAGGCGGGTCCAACCTCACAAGTTTGGAAACCAAGTCAAGCCCAGATCTACGCGCTCCGTGCATTCCTGCCTCTCCCTTGTCGGATTTTTTTTTTTTATCTCACTCATTCACTGTACCAAGTGGGATTTTATTCTATTCATCTTTCATTTCTTTCTTTCTTCTCTTTTCTTTTTTTTTAAAATTAAGTAACCACGATCCACAAAGTGGTTCCTAGTAGCCTTTCTGACATTGCATGTTCCCATACCAATCCCACCGCCAGGGTGACCTTCCCTCCCAAGCCTCTGCCTGCCTGCCTGCCTGCCTGCCACACTGGCACATTTCCCTTCCGCAGGCACATTTCTGTAAGTTTGGTCATTGTACTTTGTGCTATTGACTCAGTGGTTGGATCTGTATATCTACTCCAGCTCCTCACCACCCCTGTGCCCGAGGGCCCTGGCCCCGGCCCTGTGACCTTCTGTCCACCTCTTCTTACTCACACACCGTTTCTCTCGTTCCCCCTCCTTCACTTCCATATAATCTAGTGTCGAGGGCAGCCTAGGTATACTTCTTAATATCTTGCATCCCCTTTTCCTGTTATTCCGCATGCCACACTTAAGTGAGATCATCTAGTATTTCACCTTCCTCTGACACACTTCACGTCACGCCTTACCCTACAGCTCCATCCACGTTGCAGTGAATTGCATGATTTCATCCCTTTTTGCAGCTGCATAGCATTCTGTGGTATGTACACACACATGCCACTCTGTCCTGATATCCACAGATGCATCTCGGACATGTGAGTTGATTCCATAGCTATCGTACTATTAAAGCCATCAGGAATGGGCCCGCATAGTTTCTTTTGAAATGACAACCCCAGTCACGCAGCTGTGCCATGTGGTGCCAGGATGTGTTTCCTTGACTCATTTCCCCAAGTGAGACCTGGCACCCGAAGAGTAGGTCAAGGGGCAGACTGCAGTCCTCTGCCGCCACACCCTTTCTTTCCCAAAGTGCCCCTCCCCGATGGGTGCGTCCCCGAGGCCCTGTGAAAGTTGACAGCGTATGTGCGTATTTCTGCTCCGGACTTGGGACCTGCCGCCAGGAGTCTTGCGCCATTGTGTGCGCAGGAAGCAGCAGTGGCCCCTTCTGTCCCTTCATTACATCTAAATCACACAGGCAGGAGAGTTGCTTTGCTCCTGGTGCACACGAAGGCCTCGTCCAGCTCACCCAGCGATCGGGACAGTTACTGGCCTCAGAACGCTCTGGCCAAGTAGGTTAAGCAGGTGCCATCCAGGGCTCGCCGCCGGACTTGGGCCCATCAGAAGGCAAAAGCTCTTCCTGTCTCTCTGAGCCTTGAACCCCGACTTTCACAGCCCCGCAAGCTGGGCTCTTCCATGTGCTTGTCCCTTCCACTTGCCTTGTGCTTTGCGTGGAGAGCCCATAGCCAATATACAGGTTTCTGTGGCGGGGGAGCATCTGTTGGAATGGGGTTGGGGGTTGTAGTCAGTTACATGCTTTTCAAAGGGGAAGTGCAGGCTCCTCCAGCTGTCATCAATTATTAAGAAGACTTCTTGAGAATTACTTAGATTGGCCATTCATTAGTGGTCTCAAAGTGGAGATCTTGATTGTTCTTGCTTTGCCTGCCATCTGCGTTTGGGGACATATTGCATGTGGCCTGGTCCTTCGTCTCAAAGCCTGAGGAGGCGGTAACAGTGCTCTTGAGATGATAAATTAAAAGACATTGAAAAAATCGGCAGGTTGGAACATTGAGAAGGACAGAGCTCTGCATCTTTTCTGGAGCATCCCAGGGCCCAGCCTGGCCCTCCTTTGCTGAATGGAAGGGGTACAGCAGAGCACGTGAGCACTCATTATCGGTCCCACCCACGGGCCAATCTAGGAGACATTGTAAGAGCACCGGCTTTGAAGAGAACAGAGTGGTAGCCATTCTGTATAAAACACATCTGGCTCTTTCTTTGTGTGTCTTTATTATTTTTTGTTGTTGTTGTCCTACTTTGGACAAGCTGGCAGGCTACCCAATGTAGCCTGCCCACACGGCAGAGTCTGGCAAACTCCCTGTGGCATACCCAATATGCCAAATACCAGTAACAATGATGGGTCTCATTCTCCTAAAGAGCCTTGAATATAATCTCAGGGCTAGGATGAAAGAGACGTTACTGGGGCCTGCTCGAGGCAATCGACAAATAACAGGATGGTCGTGATTCGTGATTCGTTGTTGATCGTTTGGGTTTTGGGCCACACCAGCTGCTCGCTCGGGGGTCACTCTTGGCAGGACTCGGGGAAAAGTTATGGTGCGAGGGACCATTGGCCATGTGCAAGGCTGTCCCTCTGACCCACGACTGGTCTCCAGAGGAGTTTATTTTGGGTGAACAGTTTTAAAGAATGATTGATTTTCTGCTTCTTAAAGAGCTTTGGCTTGGAATCCACCCTGGAAATCTGTTGTTCTTTGTGTTTCTGCGGTGCCGGGGATGAAACCCATGGCCTCACATAGGGAAGGCCGGGGCCCTGCCACTGAGCGCATCCCACCCTGAGCTCTGGGCATGGCATTCAGGGTCGGTTCCCGGGAGCATGAACACTGTTGATAGTCACCGCTCATGTACAGTCCCTTGAAAAAATACTCGATTTGATTTTCGGCACAGGTTGTTTTCAGTCTCCTTTGTGGTAGGGTTTCTTATATGAATCATTCCTTCCAGCACCCCACTCCGCACCAAAGCGTCCACTTCTCACCACCATTGTCCCAGTGTCCCCTTCCCCCATCCCGTTCCCTGACACCCCACCAAAGTGGGAAGCTTCCTGTGACCTCTCAGTTTTTGTTGCCTTTGGCATTTGTTTTTCCCCTACCAGGTCACTTTATCTCCAGCCTATTGAGAGCTCATTCTGTGTCTGTGCCTCTCCTTCTAACGTCACTCAGCACCGTTCTCTCCAGGTGCACTCAGAGAGCAGCAAATTGCAGGATTTTATCTTTTCTTACGGCTGAGTAGTGCTCCGTTGTAGATATGTCCCATAATTTCTTAGCCAATTATCTGGACTCTTGCGTTGTACCCAGATTCGGACTATTGTGGATAGTGCTGCAAGGAACACAGGGCTGCAGATGACTTTGGCGAACAGAGTTTTGGGTCCTTGGGTATTTTCCAAGAAGTGGAAATTCGAAGTCATATGGGAGCTTAGTTCCTTGTTTTTTTTTTTTGTTGTTGTTGTTGTTTTTGAGGAACATCCGTATTGTTGTCCAGAAAGGCCAGACCAGTTGCTATTGCCCTAAAAAATGAATGATGTGGGGCATGTTCTCATGCTTTATATAGAACTCTGTGTAAAAGGTGTTTGGTCAAAACATATTACTCATATGAGAGCTGACAGTGGCAATCATTTCCTAATTTTTTGCAAAATGAGGCTTTAAAATCTGAAGGGAAAGGGAGGGGGTTTCTGTAGTGTAATGACAGCTTGAGGATTTGGAGATTCCATTGGAGAGTTGATACCCATCTGACAAGTGCTGGAGCGATAGCACAGCGGGCCTTGTGCACGGCGACCCAGGTTCGATCCCCGGCATCCCATATGGTTCCCTGAGCATCGCCAGGAGTAATTCCTGAGTGCAAAGCCAGGGGTAACCCCTGTGCATTGCCCGGTGTGACCCAAAAAGAAAACAAAAAAAGCCCAAGTGGTGCAGAGAGCCGCTTGCGCCAACAGAGACAGTAGTCCGTGGGCAAGGTGAATCTTGTAAGTTTTTTTTTTTTTAATAATGAACTTGAGCTCTGTCTTCTCTTGGACATCGCCCTTTCAGTTCTTGCTCCAGTGGAGGAGTTTTCAAACTAGTTCATAACAGCATGCCAGGGGCCCGGGCGCAGCCCTGTGCTTCTCCTTCGCTCACGGTCTAGGGCAGGGCCCTTGCGGGCTGGCTCAGTTCGGAGCATGAAGCGGCGGCTTTGTCTCTCCTGCAGGACATGCGGAACCTGAGGTTTGCCTTGAAGCAGGAAGGCCACAGCAGACGGGACATGTTTGACACCCTCACGAAGTACGCTTTCCCCCTGGCCAACAATCTGGTAAGTTCCAGGAGCTTTGGGGGCTGGGGGGGACTCTTCTTCCCTGGACTCCGTGCTGGCCCTCCGGGTGCACTTCTTTGGGGGGTGCATCTTAGCTTTGCGGGGAAGCTCCCTGCGGGCTCAGCTGTATCCCTTCCCCGTGTGAACACAGTGTCTAGCGTCACCTGCCGTCTTGGGGAGTCAAGGTAGGGAGGTGGCCGCTAATCTCCAATTCTATGTAATTGTTTCCACTTTCTCTTTATTTGTCGATTTGGGGGCCACACCCGGCGGTGCTCAGAGCTTGCCCTGCACTCAGGGATCACTCGTGGTGAGGCTCCAGGGGGGACCATATATGGTGCCAGGGATCAAACCCAGGTGGGCCACATGCAGGACCAGTGCCCTCCTCACTGCACTCTCTGGGCCCCCCACAATTACTATTTTCCTACAGTCACCTGGGTTTTTGTTGTGATGCTTAGGTTTGCAATTCATTTTTTTCAATCAGTCTTGTGTCGTTTCCTGGAGCCTGGGTAGCTTGTGGGCCTCCATGGGCCGTGACTGCACTGGACACCCTCCATCGTGTCCCTGTTTCACTTCTAGTCACTTCTAGTCCACCTTTCAGCATCTGTTTTAATAAGTGCCTTGGAGGTAAGTAGGATCACCTGGGAAGGACAGGCTGATTTCTGATGACCTCTGACCTAATCCAAGACACAATTCCATGGGATGCTGGAGTGATAACACGGTGGGTAGGGCGTTTGCTTTACATGTGGTCAACCCGGGTTCGATTCCCAGGATCCCATGATTCCCCAAGCACCACCAGGAGTAATTACTGAGTGCAGAGCCAGGTGTAACCCCTGTGCATCGCTGGGTGTGACCCAAAAAAGAAAAAGAAAAAAGAAAAAAAAACCAAGGCACAATTCCAGATGTGTGCATGGAATTTCCCCTCCCGCTGACAAGCGTGTGCACGCCTTCTTCAGTGTGTTCTGTATATTTTGCCTGGCCCCAGCCCTGCCCCCACCATACCTGACTTGCATCTTCTTTTTGTCTAATCTTTTTTTTTTTCTCAGCGGTGCCAGGGATGAAACTTAGGACCTTGGACAGGCTAGGTGCAAATGTGGCAAGGCTGATCTACATCCATCCCTCCTTCTGTAAAAGAGTTTCAAGGGGCTAGCCAGATCGTGCAGTGGGGAGGGTGTGTGCCCTGCACACCGCTAACTTGGCATCCCATGTGGTCCCCTAGCACTGCCAGGAGTAATTGCTGAGTGCAGAGCCAGGACTAAGCCCTGAACACAGCTGGGTGTGGTCCCCAAACAAAAACAAAGCATGTTTTACTTTGTGTTCTCTTGTTCTCTTTACCTCTTTGACCTTGCAGTGACTCCAGAGCCACTCATGCCCTTGCCATGGTGCTCCCCAGGGTCATGCCCGGTCCTTGGGATTCTTGGTTACTTTCTGGACGTAGGGATCACGGGGGCTGTGTACTCTGTTTGCAGTGTTTCTGCACCCATTAGTTGTCGCTCAGTGGACTTCTCACAGTCTCTTGCTACCCCAAGGATGCCAGAGAGCAGTGCTCCTGGGCCCGCACTCAGAGGATGTGGGTAGCCCCAGGGATCAAACTTGTCGCGTCCTGCCTCCATGCAGGCATGCATCTGAGCGGCCTTTCTTCCCTCTCTTCTGCTTCACTCAACCCATCTGGAGCCAAAGGGAGAGCTAGAAACTTAGGTTTGCTTGTGGTGGTTGTTTTGGATGGGAGGTTGGGGGGTTTTCAGGAACTACTTTCAGCTTGGTGCTTGGGCTTATTCCCACGGCGCTCGAGAAATGGAAGTCCAGGCATCGTCCATGCAAAGCAGGGAAAGAATCCTCCGATATGGGTAGCGAGCAGTGCCCTTATGTGCAGTGCCCAGAGGTATGCTGCTGGCTAGCCTGGGGTCGGGGCGAGAAGAGGGGTTATGTCCTTGTGCTACTTCATATTTGACTTTTTGTCCTATGCTTGTGTCTTCTTTTCCCATAGAGACTTAGGGTTTCCACCCCCATTTTGGGGGCAGGTACTCCCCAGCAGTGCTCAAGGCACCAGGGGCTACTCCTGGCCACACTCAGCCTGGCAGTTAGGGCTCAATGGCTCAGTCAGTGCAGGGGGGCATGCAGTGCCTTGGATCACACTCAGGGCCTTGAGCTATATCCTTGGTTCCATTTCCCTGATTTACCATAACTTTATAACACACTAGAATGTCAGAGCCCCTCTATCCGTTTAGGTGGCATTTCTACCATACCAAAGTTCAGAAACATCTCATCTTGACCTCTGAAGACCCTCCACCCAGAGCTAGAGACATAGCCTGGAGATTAAGGTACTTGCTTTGGACACGGATGACTCCGCTTCAATCCCAGCACCACATGTGGTCCCCCAAGCATGGCTAAGAGTGATTCCTGAACACAGAGCCAGTTGGAAGCCCTGAGCACCGCCAGCTGTGATCTCCCCTCCCACCAAGCCTCCCTCTACCCATTCCTGCCATCCCTATTTCCTTTCTCTTTAGTAACCACCAAAGTTTTCATCAACTCTCAGAGTGAGTCTTGTGTTTTGCCGGTTCACGTGCTTTGGTGATTCATATACTGCACCACGTGAGAATCGTCTTTCACTTCCTCACTTACTGCACTTACTACAATCACCTCAAATTCCATCTATCCCCCACCAAAGGCACGGTTTCATTTTTCGTAATGGCAACATGGTGTTCGTTGAACACCCAGTTCTTTTACCCACGTCCACTGGCATCTGGGGTTGGTTTCATTGTTTGGCTTCTGTGAGTTTTACTGCAGTGAACACAGGGGTTCAAGCGTCTTTTCAAATTCGCATTTCCACGTCCTACAGAGAAAGGCCTAAGGCTGGCTGCATCACTTAGTATTTCCTCTTTTGGAACCCAGGGTTTTCTTTTCTGTGACAAGGCATGCTTTCTCTTTCCCCAGATCTGATCAGCTCTTATTTCAGGGAAAAGGAGCTCGTGGCAGGTATGAAGCTCTTATCACTAGTTGGGTGCTGGTGATTGGTCAGAATGTGACAGTGAAACCAATGTAGTGGTAGTGGGCTACTTTCAGCCCTCTCCTGGTCTCTCAGTAAACATACGGCTTTAAAAACAATGTCTTCCTTAAGGACTAGGGTAGAAAGAGAGGTTGAAAGCACGCCCTCTGCGAAATCAGGTTCCGAATGAGAAAGCCACCTCATGGGAATTCAGTGATGGAGTGGGTGCCGTGGGCTCAGGGACACAGAGCCATCCCAGCGACAGTGAGCCCAGAGCCCAGGCTAACAGCGCCGTGCCCGGGCCTCGCAATTCTCGGGGAGTCGCCAGCGCCAGCCATGTGTGATGGGCCACAACTCGGGGCCTTGAACTTCAGGTGCGCACTCCGCCCATCCGAGCTGGTTCCCTCACCCCACTTTGGACCCCAGGTCATCACCGTCTGAAGAGCGGCTCACCTCCCAGCCTGAAGGACCCCGATGCCCTCAGCTGTTGTCACCCCTCTCATGTCCCCTCCCACTTTTCCCGAAATCACTGTGCCATCTCATGGCAATCTGTGCTCAGGAGGGAGTCTTTGTTTTTGTGTTTGTTTTTGATTTCTTAATTGAGCGTCACCTGAGCTCTGCAGTTACAAAGCTGTTTTGTAACAGCTTTCAGTCATATAATGACCCAGCACCCACTCCTCCCTCCACCAGGGTCCATTTCCCACCACCAATGACCCGTTTCCCTTCCCAGCCCCTCCATCCCCCACCTCCAGCCTGACTCTATGGCGCTGTGGCAGGCACTTTCCTTCTCGGACAGAACCTTCGACCCTGTATTTACCTCTACTTCTTTCAGCTGCGCCAGTGACCTGCTTTGTTGCAGCCCTTTCTTAATACCAGGCCCTCCACTGCGCCCTCCTAGTGGCTCCTTTCCGTTTTCTCTTTTTTTGCGGGGAGGCACACCTGCCAGTGCTTAGAGCTTCTCCCTGGCTCTGGGGTCACTCCCAGCAGGGCTTGGGGACCAGATGGCGTGTCAGGGAGAGAACCACGCCGGCCGCATGCAAGGCAAGGGCCTTACCTACCGCGCTACCTCCCCACGGCCCCACCCCTTGATTTGTTTGGGGGGCCGCCTCCACCAGTGCTCAAGGCTTACTCTTGGATCTGTGCTCAGGGGTCACTCCTGGCCATGCTCGAAGAACGTATAAGGTGCCAGGGCTAGAAGCTGGGTCAGCTCGAAGCTAGACATGTGCAAGGCAATCGCCGCCCTCCCTGCCACCCCACCCCACTGCGCTCGTGCTCCCGCTTTCCTTCCAGCTTCCGTTCCGTGCGCCCTCGCCCGGGCACTTCCAGGTCTCAGGCACGTCTTCTGTGGGCCTTGGTTGCTGCTTCACTCAGTGGTGACGGTGAAGGACCAAACGTGATGGCCTCTCAGTATCTGTATTGCAAACCCTAATACCCGAAGTAGGGAGAGAGTGAGAGGGGAATTGTCTAATTGTCTACCACAGAGGCAGGGGGAAGGTGGGACAGGCGGGAGGGATACTGGGGACATTGGTGGTAGAAAATGTACACTGGTGGACGGATGGGTGTTGGATCATTGTATGACTGGAACTCAAACATGAAAGAGTTGAACCGTATCTCACAATGATTCAATTTAAAAAAAGGTGGGAGGGAGGCAGCCATGCGTGTTGGGTCCCCCCAAGCCTGCCATCGCTTCCCTGAATCCTGAACTCTGTGGCTTCTCCTCAGAAGGAACTCTCCAATACGCCTTTATGTCCGTGTGCTTCCTCATACAGAATGATGGTGTCACTCAGTCTTACTCCTCACACGCACGCACGCACGCACACATGCGTACACCCCACCTCGGTGACTACTCCTGAGTTGTGCCCTCCACCCTTTCACACAGGACTGCCCTTGGTGTCCAACACCTTTCAGGGTTCAGAGCCTCTGGCTGTCCGTACCCTGCCTGCGCCTCAGCCGTGTAAACCCTCACCAGGGTGAAGGAGCAAGAGAACATAGTCGAGTGTACAGGCCCTGGGGCGGG